GTCACAACTCGATTCAGTCATATCTGATGAATGCAATCGTTATATTATATAAAATGATGAACCGTATTTCCGGTGTTGATCAATCACTACGTATAATTATTATTTCTAATGCTCTTATTATTATCATCATTATTCCTACTGTTATTTATATTATTATTCTTATTGTAGTTATAATTTGACGATGCATTATCATCTTTATTCAATGATTCAGCATTAAACTTGCACTGCAATTGAAATTTAATCATTTCAAACTATTATTATTTTGATATGCAAATTGCAGTCATACATAAAAGATTATTATTATAATAATTGCATCATAAACGATGCCAAAAATAATTTGGAAAAGTTATTATATTATGTTACAAAATCTTATGAATTACTATTTGTTATATAAAAATGACTTAAATTTCACTATAAATTAAATGCAAAAAATGGATTATTTACTAGCATTAATAAGTTCTTCATCTTTTCAATTTAAAATTTTACATATATTTTCAATTTTTTAATATTTTAATAATTTTTTTTTATTATTCATTTTTTTACAAAATCTTTTATTTTGTTTTATATAAATTTGCATAAATTATTTTATTATAATCAGCGATAAAATAACTCTAAGTAAAATCATTTTATCTTGTAATTTTGAATTTTTGTTTTTTTGTTTTTTTAAATTTATAATTTATTGTTCTCAATTCGTTCAGTTATTTACGCACACTTATTTCACGTTTTGCTTTTGCATAAATTTCAAATTTGCAGTAACATAAAAAATACTGAATACATAGCATATTAGCGTATTGGAGTGACACACGTAAACGTGATCGTACGTCAAGCAAAATTGTTACATTATTTTTTGGCAATTTTTAACTAAGCTTAATTAGCGATAGTACAATGATGTCAAAAATTAATTTTAATCCTTAAAATGTTTTAGGAATTTCGAAAGAAAAATTTAATCTTTGAAATATTATATGATCAAATTTATTTCCAATTTTTGAATTTCGTAAGAAAAATAAAAAAAGGAAACCGAATAAATTTATTAGTAAGCAAATTTCTAAAATTTTCAGAACTCGAAAAAATCAAAGAGAATTTCAAAATAATTTTTAAAAAAAGTAAAATTGTGACTTTTTTTCATACAATTAAAAGAGAAAAAATTAACTTTCCTAGTTAATCAGCGCCTTACAAAAGTAACACTTGCAAATTTCAATAAAAAAAAATCATACAATTCCAAAATGTCAATGAATCTCTCAAAATTACATATTTCATTGTGGCATCAGAGCATCTCAAAAATTGTTTTAATATTTCATACATTTAACACTTTCAATTTTTGAATTTCATAAGTAAAATGAAATAAATGACAAAAATTTAAAAATGCAAAAATTAAGCAAAAAATTTTTTGGAAAAATAATTGCACGAATTAATTATTTGAATCAAAAAAAAAAAAATAGAAGAAAAAAGCATAAAATAAGTGAAACATTTTAAATTTTCACTTCATTTTGGCTATAAATGGTTTAGTTGAAAATTTGGTTGAAAATTCTATAAATGAGAGAGATCAAAGGAGATAACGAATGCTAATAGAAAATGCAAGAAGTCGGGTCACGTTTAATTCTTTGACCTCTTTTTTGTGATGGGTTCTAATTTTGAATGACTACTATTATTATTCATTGATGACTACCCAAAATCTATTTAAAAGATGCTACCTAAATCAAAACTAATTTAGCACTATAAAACGATAATTTTAATAGATTGAAAAGATTAGTGGAGAAAACTTCATTATTCTAAACTTATAGCTAATTTTAAAGTGTTAATTTGAAATTCAAAATTTTATATTTAATTCAACGAAATGAAATGCTACAGAATATTGGATGATAAAAGTAACAAAATGAAATGAAAAAAAAAAAAGCAAACGTTAAGCTTACATTAAAGCATCAAATTTGTTATAAAATGCAGCTGTTAGATATTATAAATTGTTTTTTATAGCTTTTTCTAGGGAAAAAATTTTTTTAAATTTTTAAAATCATAGAAATATGCTTAATTAAAAGCTAAGTAATAATTAATGTATTTTCAAATTTTGAAATTGTAATTTTATAATGATCGGATAATCATTACTCTTAATTTGATTGAGAAAAAAGTATTTTAAATGAAATGCAAAAAAAAAAAAAAAAATTTCTCGATTAATTTATGAAAATAATAACATTTTATCACTAATTCAATTTATTCTATTTTTTAATTCGATTACTTTTCTTTTAAATATATGCATGTAATAAACAGAAATCTATTAAAATTTATTGATTGACTTTTAGCTGTAATTTATAAAAGTAATACATTTAAAAAAAGGTATAAAATTTATTAGAAACTAATGAATGTTAAATCGATAAGAAATTAATGAAATCAATATAATGAGAATGCATTTTCCTTCCAATTATAATTATTTATCAAATATTTGATAAATTTTATTAGCATTAAAAATTTGTTTTATGCCATTAAATCATAAATTATTTATTACTTTATTAGAGTGAAAAAATTAATGAGAAAAAGAACAAATAGTACAAATATCCTCAAAATATTTAATTAATGAAGAAGAAAAAAAAAAGACGAAAACATAATACTTCAAATATAATACTTTAACGAAAATATAATTACTTTTTTTTCTAAAATTATTTTTTATTTTTTTGTACAAAGAAATTTTTACAAATTATTTGCATTCATTTTTGCTTGTAGCAATGATTAAAGTTTTGATAATTTAATAAGTCAAAAACTGTTTTTACATATTTTACGTCATTTTCTATTTTTTTCTCACTTTCAATATCATTTTGATAATTCAGCAAATTATAAATAACTAAATTTTAATTTTTGATTTATTTTGTTAAGCAGCCTTAAGCTTAAGCTTAAATTGGATAGATATGCTTTAAGTGAGCTACGAGAGAAAAATTATCTTTTCATTAAACTTTTGAATATTTTACACATTCTGCACTGCTTCCTCACTTCAAATATCATTTTACTGTCTCAGCAAATTGCAACTAGGCCTTAATCTTCGATTTCAAGTTGAGCCTTAAACCTATGACAAGCATTAGGCCTCATTTATATGCCATTAGCCGCCTTGTATCGACTAATGCATCCTTTCGAGATTCTCACTCTCCCTTTTCTGATATAACAGCCAAACACATCGCTCTTAGAAACTTTCACCAATTTACTTTATTATACTTTACTTTTTCTACAACGTTTTCTTCTCCTAAATATTATTTCTATATAAATAGGCGAAAAAAAAAAAGAACAGAAATAAAATTTTTTGTAAAAATCATCAAAAAATTAAAAAATTTTTTTGGAAAAGTTTATTTTGAATTTCAAATCGAGTTGTTTTTTAATTTATATTAACAAATTTTTCTCCGTAATTAATCAGATTTTTTAAATTGCAAATCTGATCAATTAATACATAATTTGAGGAGACTTTTTTATATTGTTATATAGCTTTATTATTTCTTTTCTATACTCAATTTAACATTTACATTTTATAAAAATTTTTGTTGCGCGTTTTATTCTTTCCTTTGCAAATTGTTTCTTCTAATGAACAAAATGAAACATTTAAAAATGACAAAATTTTTATTTCGAAAATATAAAAAAATGTAAAATTTGATGATTTGGTAATTTTAATATATTTCAACAAATTTACAAATATAAATGTGCGAACAAACAGGAAAGAACGATTTGTAAAAAAGATAATTGCAAAAAAAAAAAAAAAAAAGGAATAATGATAAGAATGTAAGTGATAAAATATGGATTGTACTGTATTCAATTAGTGTTGAATTATTGCTTCCAAATTTTTCACTTTTTTCAAAAAAAAAAAATCTTTCTTTTTTTTGATTTTTTCCTTTCGTTTATTATAAAACAACCATAGAAATTTCAAATGATTCATAGCTTTCGCTACTAAATAAATCTTACAATTTTTAAGAAATAAAAAAATTTTATGTTTAAAAAAGTGAACTTATCATTTACAATAATCTTACATTTGTTTCTAAAAATTTTTGTTGATTTGATCAAATTTTTCCTACCCTTTAAAGTGATCAATCAGTAAAATTGTTCGAGAATTCTTCCTTTTTTCTTCGTTTTTATATGGCTTTCACTGTTTATGTTTCCTTTCTTTTGTTCATAGTTTTAAAGAATTTTAATCTGAGAAAAAAAAAATAAATAAAACATTTATTGTTGAGTTCAACTGTTAGTTTTCATTTTAGTCTTTCTATCAAAAAAGAAAATTGTTGCAAAAAAATAATTGTTAGAAGAGTGATGAAAAAATTGAAAAATTAGAATCCAAGATTTTATTTTTAATTATCATTATTTTAATAAATAAAGAAGGCAAAATATAAGTAAGTAATTGTATGAATAAAATGAAATGTGGCAAAAAAAAAAAAATCAAATGCTAAATATGAAAAGAACATTTGAATATTAAATTTCGTTTTTTAATTAAATCGCTTTTTCTTTTCTTTAAATCTTAACAAAACTGATATTGTATTATTATCGATGATTACTTAGTTAAAGTTGGCACAAATAATTGTATTAATGGTAAAAAACAATATAAGCAATAGTAATAGTAATGTAACTCAAATTAAAAAAGAACGAATATCCAAAAATAAAAAAATTTGAATAATATATTTTTGATAATTTGCTCCATATTACACGAATTAGCAGTAATATCGATAATATTTCAAAAGTTAATTCCCTCTTTTCCTTTTCAAATTGTAAACAAAGCTGTATTATTATTTCCTTCCTTTTTTTTTTTATAATTTTGAATTTAATTATTCTATTTTTTCCCGACAAAATTAAATCTTTTAATTTAACAAAAAATCACATTCGCTGTTTTTATGTCAATGTCACTTTAGTATATTACTAGCACTAATAACAAGCCATAATTTCAGAAAGTAACCATCGCCATGGATACAAAACTAAGCCCTCGATGCTCAACTAGTAATCAGCACTTCATCACCACAACAATGCATTCTTATCATTTCTGAGCGATGTTAACGAGGCCGAGAGAGAGACTCCTTCTCTTCCTCTACTTTACTTCAGTAGTAAGTCCTCAAGTCCTTCCATTATTTGCCACAATAGGTTGGTAATAATAGTAACAGTAGAGCCAGGTAGGTCAGTATAAAAGTTATTATTAACAGTAATGATAGTGGCAATAATGCTAATTTTAATAATGTGAAGTAATGACAATAATAATTAGTATGCTTAATAATGATATTAATATCAATAATAATTGCCCAAAATTTAAGAAAAAAAGTTCTATAATCTCATATGAAAACACTATATAATAATAATACTTTTTTAATAATACTGATAATTTCAGCAACGAAAACATTAATAATGATAATGATAACGATATTAATAGTAACAAAAAATAATAACGGTAATAATAATAATAATAAATAGTGCAGAAATAGCAATGATAAGGAAAATAACAGTGTATGATATAATGACAATAACAATAATAATAGTAGTGGTAATATTGTTAACAATAATAATAATAATAACATTAACAGAAATAATAATAACATTTAACAATAGTTATTGTATTTAGTTTTTTTTGACGGTTTAACTCATATTAATAAAAAGTACTAGCTGCAGTTATTAATGATAATGATAGAGAAAATTGATATGCAGTGATTGATATGCACTTTAGTATTGATGTTACCACTGCCAAACAATATGATAAATCAAGCATTTATTTGAAAAAAAATAAATTATTCTTAGTAGCTGAATCTTATCAAGATGTAAGTATTAGAATTTGAAACTAGAAAATTTTTAACAACTTTTTTAATTTCTTATATTATCATCATTTACACTTTTTTGACATTGTAAAAAAAGCCTGAAATGGATGGTTTTATTAATAAACTAGAAAATCTATTATTATTGATTTAAATAAACAAAAAGCAAATTGAAATAATTGAATTCAAATTAAAAACTGAAAAATTAAAATATAATTGTTATTTTTTGTTTACTATCCCCATTAGCAAGGTAAGCATTACAAATGTAACAAATGTTTAAATATTAATTTGAACAAAATTATTAGCTTTTATAAAAATGATTCATCCAGCCAAAATATTTGCTTTAATAGCTAATTTGCCTTTCATCTCTCTTTTATTTATTTTTTTTCTTTTAAATAATACTTAAGTTATACATATTTTCTCTATATATATGACAAAATATTTTATGTTAATTTGATTGTAAACAGAAAGCGGAAATGATCTGAGATAAATTTATTGCTCTGATAGCAATAAAAAAATTTTTGTGTTTTTTCCTCTTTTCATTTAGTTAGTAAACATTTTTTAAAAAAAGAAAAAAATGAATGAATTTTACATTTAATAAGAAATTTTATGATTTTATATTAAATATAATTTGTTTGTATTTACCACTTATTTCTTTCTTTCAACAATATTTTGCATATTATTTGTACATTTTCTCATTTTCTTTTCTTTTTTTGAGCTTAGCGAGAAGAATAACAAAATTATAAAGTATGATAATTGTGAACTGTAATTGGTTTTCAGCCTAAATTTTATGTGACACTTTTAAGTGTTAAGTAATTCTCAGTCTGCCACTGATGACATTCTCAAATGCATTTTTTTAATTAATTAATATGGAGCGATTCATTTTTGATTGCTAAGGTTTAAACTAATAATTAAGGAAATTGATAATAAAGTATAATTAAACTGTAATATTATGTCTAGTATGATATATTACAAGTAAAAATATTTTTTTTTTGTTGATTTAATTGCTTAGGAAAATATATTATTTTCAAAAAAATATAAGTGAAATAATTGAGTTGGAATAATAGTGTTAACACAATTTCTGGTTCAGGAATGATAAAATTATTTCAAAAATTGCAAAAAAGAAAATATACGGAATTATCCGGATTATTTCGACAACAGGAAATATTACGAATTTAGACGAAATGGTGGAAGAAGTTAAGTTGAGATGATAGAATGAAATGCAATAAGTTAGCTGAATTAAAATTGTCCTCTTTCATTACTAAAGAGCAGTTTTAATTGAAAATTAATAATAGCTTACTTTGTTAGTTTAATTATTTAAAAGAAAAAATTGGAATTTTAAAAGTATACAGAGTAAAAATCAAAGTAAGACAACATCGATACTGATCAAAAAAGACAACTGTTGATTAATAAGACTTAAAAGGTTAATTCAAGCTTAAAATCTAATTACTATTTGTTCATGTCAAGATTGATCAAAATGTTTATTAAATTGTAAAATATTTAATGTAATTTTATTCGATAACTATTAAATTAATATTTAACTTCAGATTTCATCACTTTTGCTGTGTTACTACTCTGGAATTTATTGTCTCTACTCAAAATGCCTACCATCTTGGCTAGCCAAGAATCGTCAACGTGTTCAGGTCATTATTTTCTTCCACTCTTAATTAATTCGATCATTATCACAGCATATACTGATAACCACTACTCTAACCCTATAATCATACCCATAATCAGTAATCATTAGATCACTATATTGTATTCATTAATCATTATAAGCTGCTCATAATCTCCAATAATCATCATTTATTCATGATCATTAGTGATATCATTATATTCATGATAATAATTATCGATTTAACCATAATCATGCTAATCACTACTGATTACAATCTAATAAGTGGTCACAATATCAATACTCATCATCAATACTTGGAGAGTTATACTTTCCACAATCGTTATCACTGTCGTAATAATAATAATATTAATGCATACTATATTTGTTGAAATTGGTAATATTCTTTTTTCTTTTCAAATTGCTCATTATTATCATTGTAGTGAATTATGTTGAGTTCTATTTCCGGTTTTCGTATTTCAGGAAAACGGACAACTCGTAGAAGATGGAAGAAGTAAAATGAGAATAAAAAATGAAAATGACACAGCGAGTAGCTATCAAATATTTGAATTATTTGTAATATGTACAGCAACATTTATCCTATTATTATCATTTATTTGGTTACTTGCTAATTCGATATTTAAAAATGCTGAAATTAGGCAGACGTATGGTAGATTTGTGAGTTTGTTTGTTTTCTTTTAAAAATAAAAGAAATAAAATTATAAATAAAAGTAAATTCAAAAAGGGATTGGAAAAGATGAAAATAGTGAAATAAAAGAAAAAAGGCAATTGCATTAATTATTTGTTATTTTTTTTATTTTTTGAATCAATCAAATTAGATAAGCGCAAATTAAAATAATCAGTAACTATTACATTTTACAATTTTATCTGCAATTTAATCAATTAATTAATTTTGATTGCAAAATTGAAATGTTCGATGCTAAGTAAGAAGAAGTGAAAGTTATACAATATGATTTAAGTACTTTTCAAGATCAAATTTTATTGAAATAATAATATTTTATCATATAATACAATTAGAAATAATCTGATAACTAAAAATTTTTGAAAATTTAATTGCTTTTATTTTAAAGTTTATTTGGAAATTTAAAAGAAAGAAAAACTTAACTAACTTTGTAACAGTTAAAATAATTACCAGAAAAAAGTGAAAATTTTAAAAATTAAAAAGAAAACAAATATATTATAAGGAAATGCCAACTGCTGTGATATGCTCATTATTTGCTGGAATTTGCGCTGTCACCGAATTTCACTATTCCATCGATTATTCATTCTTGCATTGGAGTGATAAATGGACATTCGCTGGTGTAAGCATATTTTATTTTATTATCAATTATAAAAAATTATTGTTAAAAAAAATTAAAAAATTTAAAAATCTGTTTTCTCATTTTCAAAATGTTTATTTTGCTATTTTCAGATTGATGCAACAGCGCTATCGTTTTTGCATGCAATTATTGCATTTGCATTACATTAATTGGAAACCAATGAATTTTTCAAAAAATTGCAATTCTTAGGTTTCTTTTTTTGTGCAAATAAATTTGTAAAATTTTCGTTTCTTTTTTTGTCTTAAAGTGATTATTGTTATTATGAAGAATCTGTTATATAATAGTGTTGGCTAAAATATTTAATGGTATTGCGATACTATCACACGATAAATGCTGACAGTTTGTATGGTAATATTAATAATATTTTAAAATCAGAAATTTTCCAAATGCAATTTTTTCTTCTCAATTTGATTGAAAATGAAAAAAGAATTTACCACGTATTGATGATAATAACATATCATGAATTAAATGGAATAATTTTAAATGTCAATTTCGAAATGAATTATACAAAATTTTAAAAAATGATATGTCGACAAGCTAATAATAATGTCGGACCAAACAATTGAGTTAGGATAAGAAACAATATTACTTTTGAAAAGGATGCACTAAATCTTTTAATAAGTTACAACAAGTTGTTCATTTTATATAATTAGCTTAATCTTTTTCTATTTCGATTATGTGCCTTCTTTCTTCTATTTTGTTGAAATAAATTTGTGAAATTTCTTATTTTTTGTTTGTTTAAAGCAAGTAATTATCGTTGTTGTGAAGAAACTGCTACATTTGTCATTTCGGAACAATTTCATCGAAATGATAAAGAAAAAAAATTGAAACTTATGTAACGCATATAAACTTTTCAACGACAATTGTAATTGTAATAGTTAAGAAATGAAAGTAAGCATTATGCTTCACCAATAAAATAACTCATGCATTTACAAATGTATGAAAATCTTTTGTACTTTTGAACACAACAATAATATGAACGATACTTTTAAATGAACAACAGTAAACAATCTAAGTATCATTCACCCGTAATAGAAATGAAATTTAACATGTAAAAAAGAAGCATAAAATGTAATCTTTTCAAGAGAAAAGAAAAACAAGACAAAAATTACATAAAAATATAATATTTATGCAGTTTATTATTGGTCATCCGAACATCTAAATGTCATCAAATCGATAAGTGTATATATTAGAATAAATTGAACAAATGGTATTTAATATTTTTTTCAGCTACATTAGAGTAACTGTCATATTTTTCGATATGAGCACAAAAAATATCTCAAAAAATTTAATATCTTTCCCAAAAAAAGAACGATGAGATCAAGAAAATAACAGATTGATAATAAAGAGTAGGAGTAAAGCGAAACATAACTTAGATCAATCACAGTTGCTATCTATCATTTCCAATACCACTCGATTGAGCTCGATGGGATATATGCATGCTAACTAATGAATGATGGTATCATTCTATAATAGAGCGATTCATCTTAAAAGTTAGAATGATGAAAGACATCCACCATATATATTTAAAACAAATAAAAATTACTGTTTGAAGAAAGAGCCAAGACGAAATTCAAAACTGCTAAAATTTGCCATTTCATCAAGACCAGCTGCGTCATTCATTCCTGGACATTTGAAACGGCCACTAATTTGACCGACGATGGAGGTTTCTTGGTCTAACTTTGAATTATGCCGAAGAAAATTTTCCAGCTGTAAATAAGATTATTAGAAAATGTACAATTTATAATAATTCAATAAGTTCATTCTTTTCAATAAAGACCCACCATTGTAATCATATGAGGCATAATAGGACCATTTTCCCATTCACATACATAAAAATCAGCACCATCCTTTGTAAAATCTCGATATTGACACTGAAAAATTATTGGTCAGTTACAAGATAAAAATTTCGAAATGCTTTCAAAATCGTTGGAAATTGAGAAACAAATATATTCACTTTCAAATTTTTCAACACTGCGTTTAGAAATGGTTGTCTCGCCAAAAGTGTAGGTGGAAAGCCGGCTTGTGGCCCAGTAGCAACGCGCCCAAAGTTCGATGTAGTCATCATGTTGTAAAGAGCCTTAAGATATCATGAATTACAAAACAGAAATTTATATTAACAAATATCTCGAAAGATTCCATAATGAAGAATATGAAATGAAAATCAGAGTTACAGCAATGCTATCCAAATCCTTTAACACAATTGCACTTTTCTTATTTTCATCTGTAAAATCTGGATCCAATGAGAATGAACGTTCGTAATCGAGTGAATGACTTGACATCACTGATTTACTGTAAGGAAGATTTCTTATGAAAAATGTTTGAAAATACTGAAAAGACATGTGAATTCCATAGTACCATTAACAAATATGAATTTTCTGGTAGTTTTGTATAATTTTTTTCTTTGGAAAAATCGATTTTCCAACTTCATTTAGAAAGTATCAAATATTACTTTCGTGTAATTTTTAGGGTTTTCCTCGGAGAAATACCTATTCCTCTCAGCCATTCATCATTGTCCGTATCATTCGAGCTGTTCAGGTCATCCGGACTGAAACAAAGTTTGTAGGAAGGATGTGACTAAATAATAAATAAATATAACCTGACAAAATAACCAAAGAATACGATGTATGTAGACAACAAATTGATGAATATCATGTGAATACTATCTGCAGTTCAATATACTGTTATTTCTTTCAGTATTTTAATAGGTTTCAATTAACTCTTGTCCATTTCATCTTCCTACTCTCTCATCACTAATTTAAGTCTATAAAACCATAGAACAGTTAAATATGGCTAAGATATTTTTTACGAAATAAATATGCAATACCTTTCGCTTCCCTTGTCATTTTTTTCGTTTTTTCTTTCCTCATCGTTTTCAACTTGATTTTCCTTCGAGTCGCTTATTAGAATGAAATCGTCACGCTTTCCAGAAAGTGAGCTGTCTGATGATACCCATGACTGCTCCTTCTTGTTATCAGAAATTAATGGTGGCTGACTCTGGGTAGTACCCAGCAAACTATTATCATTTAAAATAGAATGCCTGGATGATGAATATCGTGAATGACGAAGTGGCATCGAATATTTTATACCTAAAATTACAACGTTTTACTGAATAGCAAATTGAAAAGGATACCTGTTCAACAATGCAAATTTTTCTAGCAAAATTTAAAACCAACACTATTTAGAAAACATGAAAGAAGAACCATTACATAAAGGTTAAAACTAAAGTATAAACAGAAATTCAAAAAATATTACCGTCTTCTCGCAACTGTTGACGGAATCCATATGTTGTAGGTGTTATAACAACCTGAAAATTATATTTTTCATCACTTTTGCTCAAATGCTCATCCAATTCAACAGTGCCTTTTGGAGTCTTCCAAAATAATATCGTATATGTTGGACAGCAAGCGTAAAAGTATTGTCGCGTTCCAAATAGCCATGAATGATAGAGTTGTTCAAGTGATAAAAACCTATAGAAATATAAAATTAAATCATTTAAAATTTCCACTATATTAATAAAGTTTTATTAAAAGAATAATCAAAAAATATTCCAAAAATCTTCGCTAATAATTGGCCTAACTATACCATTGCATCGTTAGCGCTTGAACTAATGGATCACCGAGTGTATGTAAACTTGGCACAACAGGATTTCGCACACCTATCAATCGAGAGTCATTATCCAAACGTGGAAATGATGGTTGCCACGCTAAATCCGGAAATTGCCAATAAAGAGTGCAGGCTAGAAATTTAGATAAATCGCTCACCGATCTCTCAGTTGTTTCCATAGCTATCTGAAATATCACATCGTTATTTTATCTTGGTATAAATAAGCTATGTGTAACTGGCCAATCATTATTTTCTCCATTTTCAAGTTCAGATATAAGGCGGCAACAAAGAAAATGCTAGAATACACAAGAAACATAAAAACTAAAAAATAAGATAATGTAAAATTTAAAAAAAAATTATTAATACTAATCTACAAATAATTATCAGCATAAAAGATGAACTTCTATGAATTTAAAAAAGAAGCAAGCAATTTTTCCCCAATTTGGAATTGATAAAAGGCAGAACTTATGGCAAACTATAAATGCTAAACAGTCAAGATAATCAAGCATAATAATTTAATTAGCTATTGATTAAGCCGTTAAATACAACTGACAGTTCTAAATTGTTCACATCTTACTTCATTAGCTCCAGTCTGTAACGAACAAAACAGCTTGATTGCATCGTCATAAGCTGCTGAAATATGAAAAAGAGAAGAATTACACCAGAAAAGTGAATCAACTCCTAAATCCTTTTTTTTTACTCTATTTCAATTCTAAAACTTAACTTCTCTTCTAACAATATTGAAATTTTCGAAAAAATTTGGAGAAATGACCGGCCATATATGAACTTAACTAAGGAATTGAATCGTCAGGAATCAGTCAATACAGTATTTGTCAACTGCAAAGAAAAAAAAAATTTCCAAATTTTTGATGATATTACTTAAGATTATAGTTGCAAATCCTTACCGATTCCTTTTGATTTTTCTAGCCAGAAGAAACGTTTCGGCGATTCTAAGCGTAATTTAAGGCCAAGTCGGAGATCAACTGGAAGTGAATCTACTTTTGTCTTTGACTCTTCTACTCTTAAAGTTTTCTTTTTTGGTGTTGAACAACTGAATTCATCAATACTTGAGAAGTCAACTGGAAGTGATACCGTGGTGGAAGTAGTACTAGTGCTAACGGAGGTACTGCTTCGCTGCAATGCACATCAACATATTATATGATATTATAAATAATGCCATCATTTCTGAAGATCTGTAAATTTATGATTAGTGATAAGGCAGGATATTTGAAAATATATATTGGAAATTACAATGTTTCTTTTTGAAATGTAAGTTTCAGGACTAGCTTCTGGAAAATGAGTAAATTTTTGAAAAAAAAAAAAACTTCAATGGTTAGATAAATAACCGGTTGAGCAAAAATATCAAATATATTTTGCTTATAATAATGTCAATTAAAAGTAAAAAAGAAGGAATTTGTTACAAAACATACAGCTTCTGTATCTTTAGGCATGGAAATTTTCTTCACCTTGTCGAAAACACTTGATGGAAATTCCTGTAACGCATTACTGTCTGCTATGAGATCAACAACTGTCGATGAGACACCACATCTATCATCAATGATTTTCTCCGGCAAGGTATTTCGGTTTAATGATCTTTTACAAGATACTCGCTGTAAATCATATGTTATGAATTAGATAGTAGGTATCATGGAGAGATAATATTAATTAACCAAATAATAAATCACACATTAAACATAAACTAATACATAAAAAGTAAAATTGATTTGTTCACCAGTAAGCTGAAAAAAGAAATAAACATTAAAAATTATTTAGGCTTCTAAATCCAATGTTATTGCGCACATGCTTGATAGAAATTTTTGATAAAGAAGTATATTTGGTAAGATAAAGGAAAATGGATAATACTCGAAACGGATTTATTATAACTGAATCAGCTCCTTGCAATATCTTTGTTGAAAGCACCGAGAATCTTTCATCCGCCTCATTATCAACGGATAATTGTTTTAATGATGATGACGGTGATGACGAAGACGAAACTGATAATCCTCGTCTGAAATCATTAGAATTTACCCGACATGTGAATTTTCGAAAAAACAAGGATCAATAAAAACTGCATTTAATAAAACATAAAAAGAAAAAGTTAAATACTTAACAATATTAAAAACATCTGAAGATTTTTATCAATTTTTTTAAAATGCTGCCTGTTCTTGCGAATTCCTTTCTTAATAACATCGCAGGGATTTTTCCACGCTGGACTCCTAATTGAATGTTTGTTCCGATCATTCATTATTAAGCTATATTATCAGAAATTTTTATGTACTATTTCTGAAATGATCTAGCATAAAGCACGAGATTTTGAAATTGTCACTTTTTCGCATTCGCTTAATTTTCTTCTAAAGTAATAATGCATACTTCGATTTTTAATATTCTCGAATTATACAAGATAAACGAATTGCAAATAATAATTCTAATCAATATTAAATTGGAAAGAATAAACAGATGTAAAATAGAATGTTTCAGATGTAAAATAGAATGTTTAAGACTGAAAAAAATTGGCTGAAATCAAAAAAAAAAAATACGTGTTAGGAGATAGAAATACAAAAATATTGTTAACATCAATAAATGTCCAAAGAGAGATGCAAGCTAATAAAAGATTTAAGATAATGACATATATTACTACAAATGCTTACAGTCGCATTTTACAGCAATGAAATAACAGGTCGAAAGTATTAACAAAAAAAGCATCGAATAGATGAAAAAATGTTGCAAAATATTACAAACAGACAAATCGTAGCATAAAACAAGAGAAACTATAAAATATTAAACATCGTAGCCATTAAACAGTCAATTTTTGGGCTTCCTCACAAACTAGAAGTCAAATTATTCCTACTTAGTTAAATTATTCATTAATTTAAGGCTGCAAAATGAAAAAGAAAGATTGCATAACATATTTGATTTTAAAAATTGACTAAAAGGGAAAACAATTCATTGCAGTTTAAGAAATTTGAAAAAATAACAGAAAATTTTGAAAATGTGAGAAAAATACCACAGCTCAAAGGTGTATAAAAAATCATAAGAGTAAGAACAAATCGAACATTTTTGGAAAGGAAAAATTTCGGAAATCAGAGAAAAACAGCACAAACTGAAATTCATAAAATCATAAGGAAAGGAAAAGAAAAAAATATTTTCCGCAAAAATCAATTCGACATTTCCGGAAGAGAAAAAAAACACAACCCGAAAGAAAAAAAAAAACGAAAAACAAAATTCACCGCCAATTTACAGCTGTTCAGTTAGACGGTGGCCAACTAATGATTATTCCTTACAATTTTCCTTTTTTTTTTTGAATTTTGAAATAGGGAAATGTTTGGTACTTTAGTCAGGTCAACCGGATCCGGCATTTGCATCTCTACAATAGTATGATTGGTTATTTACCTAAATTTCTGTGTGACAGAATTGCTTCCTGTTTATAATGAAATATTTAACACTAATTCTTTGCATTGTTCTTTCTTTTTTGAATATTATATTGTAATAATTAAATAATTAGTTAATGATTGAATGTTAAATTCAGATTAAAATTAAGGAAATTAATTGTGAAAAAAGTGAGCGTAAAAAAATAGCAACGAATAATATTAGCAAAGAAAATGTTTAAATTGCTGAAAGAAGTAAACATGAAACAAGTAGAAAGCTAAAAAAGAGAGAAAGAAAAGTGATAGAAATTGGAAGAATTCATTTATAATATTTCATTGCTTTTTTTTTTTTCTTTTTCAAAAAATAAAGCTCAAAAATGCACTTTTATTAAATTTATCCTTCTATTAAATTTTTTACTGAATTTTTTATTGAATTTATTGAATTTGGGAACTTTTCAAGCATTTCAAAATAAAATCAGTTGCTCTGAGAAAAATATTCACAAATTATTTGCAGATTTCATTTTGTATAATTTGACTAAATTAAACGGCAGTTATTAAAATTTTATAATGAAATGATTATAAAATTGATTGTGCTAATTTTTTTTTTTTAATTTGTAAACAAATGAGAAAAGAAAATGAAAAAAACTCAATTGAAGTTTTGGAAAAATGATGATAAATTAATGCAATAGTTCGAAAAAAAAAGAAAAAATTTTCCATTGCAAATTAGAGATAAATGAGTGAAACAATAATTCAATTTAATTCAATTTTATTTTATTATTCATATGACAAAAAAGTTTATACATTAACTTACACTATGATATTGCAGAAATAAATGAGAACATGAAATTGTCACTATTAAATATGACAATAATAAAGCAATAAAGTTATCTTCCAGTTACGAAATAAATATAAATTTTCAGAAATGAAAATTTGCCTATATTTCCACTTATGATATACAAAAATAACTGAAATTAAATACTTTTTAAACAGAAATGCAAGCATTTTAAAAAATTCAAAATTCATTTCCTTGCCATTTCTTTAATGAAATTTGAAAAAATTGTAAAGATGAGAATGAAAATATTAGTGGAACATTTTATTCCAGATTTTATTACACTGTACTTTCAAGTTTTTAAAGTTCTTTAAAACTTTTTAAGTTGTCATTTCTTTGATGAAACAGAAGAGCTGTTTTAAAATTTTAAAGTAAAAATGAAAATTTTTTCTTTCTTTTAGAAACAAAAATGATTGTAAGTGACATAAAATTAAATTACAGCAAAAACGTAAAATTTTGAAAAATTTTGAGTAGAATTATACACGTGAAATTGCATGCAATCATGAATGAGATGGACATATGCGCATTTGTCTAAGCGCATATGTCTGAGCGTTTATGGTAAAATACAATTAGCTATTTCATAATGGCTAGAAATGAAATCTTTCTACTAATTGAAATGTGATAAATGAAACTAAAAAGTGAAATTTGAAAATTTTTTTCATTTGAATTTTCGTGTTAAGTTGATCAGTTGATAAAAACAAGTTATTAATAATTGTTTAAGTACTGAGAGAACAAAAAAACTATGATAAATTATTAGAAGCAAAAATAATGGAAATTTTGGAATCAATTTGTAAAATTTGTTAATTGATCAACACATGATAGAAAGTTAAATAATTACCAAATGAGCAAAACATTCGTTTAATGAAAATTAAAAATTTTTATTAAAGATCTGAAAAATTAAAAAATGGAAATAACTGAAGAAATAATTTAGATATGAATAGCAATTAAAGTACTCTTACAAATAAAAACTATGATTAATTAAATTTATTTATTTCATTTTTTTAAGTTCAATAATATCATTTTTACAAAGTCATCCATTTTAGACTTCTTTTCCAAACACTTTTTTTTGCTTTTTAAGCAACCAGTTCTCTTCGTTTCTTATTTTGGTCCTTTTAAAAGTTTGTTAAATGATAATTGAGTTTATTCGTGCACACCATTGCTATCATTTTTGATATTTCTTTAATTTTTTAGAATTTGAGTGTCTTACAAATTAAGATTTAATTATTGATCGTACTTTATCAAATTGCTTCGCGCAAAAAAAATCTTTTATAATTTATGATATAATTTATAAAAAAATTAAATATTGATTATATATATTCAAATACAAAACTGAAATTGTAAAGTTAGAAATGTTTATTGATCAGTGTTTTAATTTAAATTGTTATATAATCTTTTTCTTCTGTTTATTCTGTTCAAATAAAAAAAAAAAACATTCAAACCATGAAATAATCAAAAAAAAAAGAGAAAGAAAAATAAACTAAAAATATTTGAAGGTGAAAAAATTGATGTAAATTAAATTTTGGATTTAATAATGAGAAATATAGCAATTATATCATCACAATTTGGTTATTTCATTGGTACATATCCAACACAAACAATTGGTGTAGCATTAATACTTTGCTTTTCAATTCTTATCACATTCGTATTTCATCCGCCAATTATCGAAACGGATATACGACACGGATTTGTGCACCGGAACAGTCGAGCAGTTCTTGAATTTCAGGTTGAGAAAAAAATTCAATGGAATTCTTCAATTCTATTATTATTGCTAATCGCTTCTTTTTCAAAACTTTTGTTTAAAACTTTTGTAAAAAATCAAACTGGAAGAAAAAAAAAAAGCAGAAATTTAAGTATAACCAGATAGTTGAAGAGAAAATTTCTTTTAGCGATTATTAAAGAATTCTAATTTTCTGAGCTAAAATAATGATAACAATGATAATAATAATAATAATAGGAAAAGGTAAGCAATAAAAGTTAACAGCGATGAATTTCGTCTTTTTTTTTTCCTTTTAAACAATATGAAGTTGAACTTTTATCGAAAAAAAAAAATGTTTCAAATATTTCACACTCATATTCATAATTAAATGCAAATACTAATATCTCTAAAATTTTTTCTGCAAAAATATTAAATTAGCCAAACGAATATTGCACTTTTGATATTGCCAGGAATGCATTTCAATAAATAAAATTTTTTAAATAATTTAAAAAAAAAAAAGAGAAAGAAGAAAAAGAGTTTTTGAATAGTAAATAGTTGGATAATTTAAGATTTTTATGTTATCTGCCATTTTCATTGGTTGTTTTATAGCGTTTCGCAGAATTTTATAATTCCTCATGGATGGATATTGAAATGATGGTTGTACTGATTAAACCAAAATATTCAAATGATAAGGTTCTCCAAATTACACCTCAATTATGTGACCAGGTAAGTGTAATTTATTTTGGGGTAACTTCATAGGTAAATCCAATAAATTATATTTTCCTATTATTTCATTTTATTTTTTTTAATTCAATTAAAAATATTTAATTATTTTTGATAACATAATATGGTAATTAAGTGAAGCAGTAATTAGTGGAAGTTGAAAAAGTATTCTAATAAATAAAATCTTTTTTTTTTTTTGAGTACTTTTCAAAAACAAAAGAAAAAATATTTTAGACAAGCCATATTATGCTATGAAATTAATTAAGCAAGTTAGAATACTTTTTTCAACCTTCACTAATTATTCCTTTACTTAATTATTTATAAATAAAGTAATGGACTCGTTTTAATTTACTATAATAATTAGTTGATTTCTTATAATAATTGCTGATAGTGCAAACTTCGAAATCACCAATCTGATGAATTTATGCAAGTAAGTTGAAAATGTTGAAAATGAGAAATGTAAGAGTTAAATTTTGGATGAGATGAAGGAAAAAAATTTCATTATTTTTTAATACTAAATGTTAAAAAAACTCCGCAGCAATAAGTTTTTCTTTCTTTTTCTGACTCATTCTGTTCTGTGACAGAATATGCATTTTCAGTTGACAACAACTACATTAATTTCCTAGATAGAAATATTTTTAATTACAATAAATTCTTAAAGAGAAATTTTTAACTAAAATTTATTTCACTTGTTAATTACAAGGCTAAAGTTAAACTTAAACTTGTCAACTTTATAAGCATAGTAAGTTATAATTTTATTATTTAATAATACACAGCAATGATTTGGTCAAAAGTGGACATTTTTTCCGTCCACATTTATTCTCCTATCAAAATGCCAAAGCAAAACGATGAAAAGTTGAAAAGTTAAACAGAAGTGTAGGGATACCATTATTATATGCTATTAATTTTATCAATAAACTTCTTTAATGATATCAAATTTCCAATTTAATTTTTTCGTTTCTTTTTGATAATATTTAACTTATCATTTCATCTGTTTGATATTTAGATTTTTCTCATTTAACCTCACAAAATCTTGTTTTTTTGATCACTTTTGTTGAGGTTTTGTTATTTTACTGCCAGTCAATTCTATTATTTAAATAATTTTGTTTATTCTTAAATTTTTATCCATTATTGTTGACAGAGTTTAACTTTATTGATAGTTAATTTCAAAAATTCTTTTTTCTTCCTTTCAACTCTTTTATAAAAACAAAAAAAAGAGAAAAGATAACGAATTATTATTGCTAAAACTTCTAGCAGAAAACTTTCAAATTTTTTAGATAAAACAACTTGAATTACACATTCAATCATTCGAAGTCCCAAATAGTGTGAAACCAATTAAATATAATGAATTTCGTGTACCTGGTGGTAACCTTAATTACTTCTTCGATGCTTTCAAGGTATGCACTTGAAGCATTTCTTGTCACCTGTTATGCTTTTTTAATTGGAATCATAGCAATTAGAAATGATAGATTGGATTAAATCATTCATATTTAGCTAAATTAATTTTTTTTCTGAAAATCTGAAAAACTAACTTTTTTAAATAGCACTGATCTCATCGTTCTGTCTGAAATTTAGATTTTCCTCACTTATTCTCATCAAATTTTCTTTTATTTTTCTTTATTTCTTATTTTATTTTTGTTTTTACCAATTTTTACTGAACGATTCTATTACATTGGAATGTCAGGAATGATGCAGTAAACATGAAATTAAATTTTAATCATTCAGTTTAATTCATCATTTTGCTTTATATTATTAATTAGTTACAACAACAATTGCTATTGCTTGCTAATCAGATGCATAAATAGGGCAAAAAGCAATTTTATACACAATATTTCATCAAATTTCTCTCTTTTTAAATAAGTAAGCAAACATATGGAATTAAGAAATTCTATTGATTTTTTAATTAAGCAATTTTATTAATTAAGCGATTAAAGATTGAAATGTTATTATTGCAGTTCGGCTATGATCTTTTAACTCGTCAAAATAAAACAGATGGATCAGTTGTGTTGACATACCCACAAGGATCAATTTTTGGTCATCATGTCTCTCTGGCGTCACATTTTTTTGGAGTTAAACTTGTTGAAAATTACACAGAAAAGGTTATATCACTTTTCTACCAAAAAAATAATAAAAAAAGAGAAACGAAAAAAAAAAACAAAAACAAAGACGACAAAATTATATTTTGAACTAAAAATATATACATTTGAATTGTAAAAATTCTGAATTTCTCTTTATTTTATTTTATTTTTGTTTGAGAATATGATTAAAAATGCAATTATAATATTAGCCAATATTTTCACACATTATTCTTATTAATATTAATAAAAACTTTACTAAATGAATGTATACATTTTTTATAGAATTTTTTTTAAGCAAATTTAATATTTAAATTATTTTAGGGTTTACCAACAGCAATGGAATCAGCTGCGACAATTTCGTTATTTTTTATGGTAAAAGCTGATGGAATTTTACAAAAATATCGTTTACGCCACTGGCAACTTGCATTGAATGAATTAAGCGAAACCGGAAATTATTCCGATTTATTTGTTTTTTATATTTACGGCGACCAGGTGGGCAGTATACCTTAACTTAAATAAGTTGTTGAGTCTGTCAAAATTTTGACTTTAAGTTAAGAGTTTACATAAGTATTGAGGTGAATGGTTGACGAATAAATATTAAAGTGTCACAGATTAAATTGTTTCAGCAATGGACTATGTCTCTACTAAGCATATTATTATTATTATCATTGTCATTATCATTATCATTAATATTGCTACTATTATTGCTTATTATCTATTATTACTATTACTTATATTAGTACTAAATGACTTTTATAAATTGAAAATATTACATCCCAGAAGTTTATTTGTTATAATTCATTATTATGCAATTATATTTGTCTGTATATGTCTGTCATAATTGTTTATACTTTTCTTCTTTTCAACAAAAAAAAATAAAGAAGAAAAGAAAAAATAAAATTTAGCTGAGAGTAAAGTAAATTTTAAAAGTTCTAATTTTAAAGCATAATTTTGAAATATTGTCAGTGGTTTAAGTGAACGTTAATAGTACAAAGAATTAAGACAAAAACAAAAAAAAAAACAAGAGATATGGTTAAAAGTAAATAAATAAAGCAAATTTTCTATTTAATTCAAAAGTATTTGGATTGCTTATTTCAAATGTTTGGCACTCATTCAAGCATTTCATGAATTCTTCAGTTATTAGCTTTTCTCGTTACTTAGATTGCAAATGCTGAAATGGAAAGAGGAAATTTAAAATCACTGAAATTATTTGCAATTGGTGCATTTATAATGATTGTTTACATCGCATTTATTTTACGTATGTTTTCAATTAAAAGTAAGGTAAGAGAAAGTAATGTGTCATTAATGTTTGTCATACTAATAATAAATAAATTAATTCTAATAAACTAATTCCAACAAAAAAAAAAATTACCATTATTAAATTAATTTAATCTTGTTAATTAATATATTAGATTTGGAAAAAAAATTTTCAAAAAAAGAAACAAATGCCAATGAGTTCTAAGTTAAACATATTTAATCTATATGAATGAATTCAAAATTCGAGCAAATTTTCCGATTCGAAAGCTGAAAATAAAGAATTTTATTTAATTCGTTAAGTTTTATTCAAAAATTTCTAGATTTTGCTTACGTTAGCATCAATTTTCTCACCTCTATTAGCAACGATCGTTTCATTTTCATTAGCACAATGGTTTGGAATATCAATCACATCAATTAATGGCTTTATACCATTGCTAATGATTGGAATCGGTAATGCATTACATAATTCTTAGAAAATTTTCATTAATTACTGTGGGAATATGATAAGCAATAAAAAAAGTACTGGAAAATTTTATTTTAGTCAACGAAATTATCAGATTGTTCCATTTAATATTTTAATATTTGAAATAAACAAAACGAATTTTTTGTTTTTTGTTTATTTGCATTTATTTTAGCATTTTTTTTTAACTATTAGTTCTTAGCAATATATTATTGCAAAAAAATTTTTGCAGTTTTTATAAAAATGCCAATATTTCATTGCTTTGATCTTTCCGCATCGAAAATAGAGCGATAATCATTTTCGTGTATCGAAATTTAAGACAAATTAAAATTATTAATGGATTAGCTTTTTCACAAAATAATTAATTAGTTTAAAAAGAACAAATAAGTAATTTGTTAATAATTGTTTTTTTTTTTTGCATAATTAATGTTTAAGCTATTATTTAGCGATGCGACGTTAATTCAATATATTTGAATTTCAGGTGTTGACGATGCATTTCTTTTAATTCATGCCTGGCAAGACTGCGCTTCAATTTCAGACAAGCGAAACCGTATGGCAAGTGTGATCACTGCAGCTGGGCCAAGTATAAGTATTACAACAATTACTAATATTCTTGCATTTGCTGTTGGCGCAATTACTGCATCACCTACGGTTATTTTTATTATAAAATAGCAATAATATAATAATAATAACAGTAATAACAAATGTTTCGTAAACATGTAAGAATAATTGGTAGACAAATAAGACTAGACGAACCCTTGGCCTGAATTAGTGAGCCAAGATTTGTGGATGCATCTGCTCATACTGTAACACGGTTGCTCCTTTTGATAGGATTGTGACCCATCTCTCGCCGAATCTGAGGTCAAAGTGAAGGCGCTCGATGTGTCCAAGGTGAGAGGTCATTTCGGAGAATCCTCGCACTCTTTTTTGGTACCTATTGTAGTAGTCAGTGGCTGATAAAGTCCTAAGAAGAAAAGCAACTATGTGCTAAGTAACATAGACTTCTGTATTGGTCACGTGGCCAAAGTAATGGACATTTGGATGACGTGGAGGGATGATTGAAAAACCGTTTAAGGAATTGCAGGTAAGACAGTATGATTAGAGAGGAGTGGACAGTACCCAGACACTGATCTTGGTGTTTCCATGCCTTCTGTGATGGGTTTCTAGAAGTTTGTCAAACTTTTGATTTTGGTGATTGAGGGAATGGTGCTTTTCAGATATGAAAATTTCTGCTGGGTTGATTTGAGCTTAGATAAGCCAAGCCTGTGGGACATGGGAATAACGACAATCTACCCGCAATGGTGATTGGCATAGAACTTTTGTCTTCTTCAGGCTGACGTCCAGTCCGAATCTGCGGGTAATGTGGGTGACACTGTCTCAAAAGTTGCCTTGAGAGTAACGTGGGAATTTGCTTTTTGAGTAAGTGGGCAGAATTTCGGATATGCTTCAATTATTGGAGATTGAACAGACTCTCGTCAATACGAGTGCAAAAGTTTCTTCAGATGTTTCACGCCGTTGATTATCAGAAAAGCTGAAAGAGTGGCTTATCATACCCACTCAACCGCCCTAGTATGCTTACTTAAGGAACTTAGGACGGCGTCCTATAATCATTGAAAGTCACGTAAAGTCTGTACACGTCGCCTTCAATTATCTGAGGACAAATGTCATCTGCAATACTTCTGCTAGTTGCAAAAAGTACATTGGATTCTACAAAGTGAACACTAGTCTGTGCTATGTTTATTCTCACGAAATTTTAGAGAGCGCAAAGTAATACTTTAATATTTTGAGTGAACAGTGGAACTTTTTTGCTTTCTGTTAAACAGATTGATGATGACCATGTTCCGGAAATCCGGTAATTCTGCTCATTGTTGAGTAATATTCCGAATGTTGAGCCTTTACCTGAGCGATGGACACTGAAAAAGAATTGAAAATGTTCAGACCATCGCTGACACGGAGCTGAAGATTACACATATTTAAATAAATACTAATTGATGCATTATTTAACACATAATATTGAAAACATATTAGATTATAATGTTAAAAGTAATGAAACTTACTTTTATGTGTTTTTATTTTTATTGTAAAACAAATATGTCCAAGAAATTATAAATAATTAGCTTTGCTAACGAAACTACACATTTCTGTTAGAAGTAACGATTCGTTCAATTAAGATTTCATTTTAAATGAATCTAAATTATCAATAATTCATTTTGATTAAATTAGCAATTCAAATTTTAGATGAGTTCATTTTGCTCATGTATGTTAATAGCAATTACATTAGATTATATCCTTGAATTGACCATTTTTGCCCCAGTACTTGCTCTTACGACAAAATTTGAGCGCGGTGATCAATCTGAAAAGCGACAATCATTTTGGTTAGTTCATTTCATTTTTATTTCTATGTTTTATTAAAAAATATAATAGAATAACTTGAGAATAATGCAAAAACAAATTTTTTTTCTTCGCCTTTATCACAAAACTTTTAACAACTTTTAAACTTCAAAAGTATTAACTGGTTCAATTTATAAGAAAAAAAAAAATAAAATATGTATTACTTACGGCTTTTTTCCTTTTTCTCTTTCCGCAAAAATAATAGTGAAGAATAGAACTAAGAAAATACAAAACTTAAAATTTTTCAGTTTTACAAAAAAAAAAATGTATAATAACTTTCTCTCTTTTTTAACTTTTTTAAAACACAAAAATTGAGATAACCTGTACGAGCAATTAAAACTGAACTAATTTCAGCTATTCGTCACAGTGTTGGATTTTACTTTCTCGATTTGTTATTTCTAAAGTTGGCCTAGTGACTATTGCTGCTATGCAAATAATTTTGTACATTGTTGCTACTGTGGGTATAATGCAGATGAAAGCAAACTTTGACCCCACCAGAGCATTCTTGTCTGACTCAAAATTAATTACATGTGTAGAAATTGTTAATTCCATTTATCGTGAGGTAAAAAATAGAAATAAATTTGCTGAATTTTCATGCAACAAAAACTAAACTGGTTCTAATAAGATGTTTTTTAATTCAATTCAGAGTAATACTTAAATATTACCAAATTTTTTGAAGTAGTTAATTAGAAGCAACACCATTCCGGTAAAGCTTCAATAATAATAATGACAATAAATTATATGTAAAAATGAAGCAAAAAAGTATTTAAGAGAAAAACTTATTTGTAAAAGAAAAAATGAATTCGCTGCAAATGTTTACAGTATGTTCCGACAGTTTTCGTTGTCAACAATCCACCTGACATTAGCAACAGTACACAGTATGATGAGTTCATGGAGTTAGTTGACAGACTGGAAGAACTTCCTTCGTCATACGGAGCAGAGAGGACATTACTGTGGCTTCGAGACTATGTCAAAGTAACATTTTCCACTTATTTTCCAAACTCCAGTCGGTAACTGATTTCGTTCTTTTTAATTAATAAATTGATTAATGAAGAGAGTTTTTCAATTTATAATAATTATACTATTGTGATTCTAATTATTTTGATAAAAGCAACTAAAAAAAGCTTGAATACTAGTAATGAATTATTGAAATATCTCAAATCAATTATTATTACTTAAATAACAGTGCTGAAATTAGCTGTTTGTTTTTTTTTTTTCTTCAGTAAGAGCTTAAATGAGAAGAAGTTACTGAAATATATTAAATTAATTACTACCATTCCATAATATTCCTTCTTTTGCTAGCAGTAATACATTCAATTTAATTATTAATAACAGCAAAAGAAAAAAGCAACGGAAAAGTTGACAAGCAATCATTTATTTAATTAAACGATTTAAATTGAATAAGTTAAATGAATTGTGTGAAATAATTCTCAAATCACTTATGAACTGTAGGACAAAATTGAAATATACATGGTAATACATTACTTATGACATACATTTTGCAGATTTTTAGCATATTAACTAAAAAATTCAAATGGATTAAAAATTTTTCAATTTCAGTTTTTTGTTTCCTTTTCAGTACCTTGAGAAGAAAAGGAAAAGATCTGGCTCTCATAATACTAATTTTACCTATCAATATGTACCCGAGTTTCTCACTAGCAAATTTTTGGCTGATAAGAATGTTTTGCATTATCATATCGTTGATAGGCATGTTATTTCTTACCTATCCTTGTTATTTCCTTGTTCTCATTATTAATTTAGTGTTGGCCAAGACAAAAAGAATAGCCAATAGCTAATATAGCATAAGCCTTTGTTGTGAAATTGTTTCGCTTCTCACAATTAAAACATTCATCGAATTTTGCACCAATATAATTTCATTAGTGAAAAAGTTGAATCAAATTTTTGATCGCATTATAATGCTGGCGTCACACGGAACCGATTGAACTTTTCACAACAAAATATGACTACAGGTGGGAAGTGGTGACTGTTACCCTGATGTCGGGCAATGTCAAAGTAAATTGTGATGTTTTGACATGAACTGAGATATTAGCATTAATTTGAGATGAATTTTTTGATTCGATATCGAATAAGTAAAGCAGTATTTGATGAAATTAAAGAATCATTTCTACGCACTTTCAATTTAAGGCATTCAGTTATCGTTGATAGCTTTTTATTCATAATGGTTTCATGCGGGAAAGGTGGATGGACACGACGAGCTCATTTCGTCGGTGTGTGGTATAAAATTTAAACACTTTTACTGAGTTAAAAAAAAAGAATAAAAACATCTGATTGGATGTACTGAGTCAGATAATATCAATGATTCTCTGTGTAGTGAATGTAATATTCAAATATGGCAATTTCTCCTAGCTTTTAATAATAATGCATAAATACCAGTCAGAGGGATTTGATTATTTCTATCCTAAAATAGAATTTATTTTGAGCAATTATTTAAATTCGAATAAATTTGGAGCATTAAATTATAAAATTGGCTATTGTGAAAATTTAACTAAATTATTTGACTAAAATTATCGATGTAAAAATCAAATTATATGTACGCAAACCACTGAATATAATTTTTTTTTTTAAATAATTATTTTTAATAGATAAAATTTAAAAACTGTGTTTCCGTAATTTTCATCTAGTTAACAATTTGATAAAAATATATACTCTATTTCGGATATATTTAAAATGATTCTTAAACTGAGATATTTCAGATCCAATTCGATCTATTTTGGATGAATATCCACATTATAATGTTACTTTGTTTGATTACGATGGAACAATTTTTGATCTGATATCAAATGTTAAGGTATAATAATTAAATTCATTTTGGAAATAGTTACAATTTTTGGAAGATCTAAAATTTCATTTCTTAAATTAATCAATAATAATAGTCGAAATAATTTTTGATCATATTTTTATAGAGATCAAACATGACTTGCAAAAAGTAATTATTGATTATAGTGGAAATCATTTTCTCGGAAAGTTTTCTTAAAAGAAGAAAAAAATAAAATAAAAAAATTATCATTTTTTGAATGATAGCATATCATCTGTTTCGATAATTTGAACTTTTTTGTATTCATAGCGAAATCAAAAATTAAACTTCAATTAATAACTCAAATTTAACCTTACAAAAAACTAACAACAAAAGTTGACAGCACGAACTGATCAAAGCAGTAATAATTACAATGGTATGCATTATGCTCATATGCTACATATTCATAACAAAATTACTTTCAACAGTTGTCGCATCATTTACCATTTTCTCAATATTCTACTGTTAGTTCACTTTGCTATGGTTCTACTGTTTATTTGTGATAAAACTGTGACAAATGTGGTATGTAATTAATTATGTAAATATTATTTACGTCCATAACAAATATTTATTATGAAAATAGAATGACACGTAAGTGGGACCATTTCGAGGGATATAATATAGTGTAAAGAATGCAAATTTTGTTGAAATCAAAAGATCCTTTCGGTTATTTTTTGAGAATAATTCATTTTTAATCAATATTGCAGTTCAAATTCATTAATGTATTATATTGGAATGTTAGAATTATATGCAAATTCTGCAATGTTATATTTCAGGTTTGATAGGAATTTTAAGTTTAATTGGCCTTGATTTGGATCCAATAACGATGATTGTTGTACTAATTGCTATTGGATTCAGTGTTGATTTTACGGCTCACACATGTTATCACTTTTACCACTATGATAATTCGGCACATAATTCCAATAAATGCAATGATTATCGGACACGAAAACTTGCTGACATATACTTTGTCGTTGGTGAACCAATTGTTGAAGTTTGTTTAAATATCATACTTTATAATTTAATCCACTTTTTTCCTACAAAATTAAAACATTATTTTTTTAAGAAAAGAAACAAACAGTTTTAGTTAAAATGGATTTTAGAAAATTTCACTAAACTTCTAGCTTTTAAACAATTTTCATTTTTTATCGAATATTTTAATCATCTTGCTATCTTTCACTCTATTTATTTATTTATTTTTTTGAAAAATAATTTGTATTAAAATAATGTCTTTTTTCTGTACTTATTTATGTTTATTTATTTTACTTTTACATATTTACTTTATTACTAATAACTCTTGCTTATTTCACATTCATCGCAAAACATATTACAATAAAATACTTTTATTTAAATTATTTACTCAGTTAACCATTTCCTTTTAACTCTCTTTCATTTCCAGGGTGCTGCATCGACCATCCTATGCATGTTACCAGTGTTTGCAATTTCAACTGAATTAATCAAATCTCTCGCTAAAACAATTGTAACTGTAATATTATTAGGTATTTTTCATGCTATAATAATAGTACCTGCAATATTATCATTACGTATCAATAAAACGGATAAGAATGAAGGAAGCATTATGGTAACTAATCATAATACTACTGTCCAATCAGAATGTAAAAATGAAACTGTAATGTGACATAAATACTTTTCTGCTTTATTTTAGAGATAAAATAAAAGTTAAAAAAGATGGAAATAAAAATTTGTTTTTTTTTGCTTCATTTTTTAACTGATTACAAACTTTAAATTGTGGTGAGTAAAAATTTCCAAATGATAGCATTTATTCTTGAACAACTTTTGTTGTAATTTGACTTATTCATAAGAAATCTAAAGTTTCTTGCATCAAACAAACATATGTACTCAACTATTGAACTTTTAACATTTAATTCATATTTATAAAATACTTCTCTCATGAATAAGAATTAATGATAAATTTATTTCGTGCTGCAATCGCTTATCATTATCATTTATTTTTGGATTAATTAAAAATTTCCCAAATGAAAACTACAAATTTCCTTAAAAAGAATTAATTTGCATAAAAATGATTTAAGAAAATGGATTAATTTGCACAGATGAAAAAAAGTGATATTGCACATAAACGTTATCACCAAAGGTTATCATATCATCGATACGTCGTGTCAAACTGATCAGTGCATGTCAATTTTGCGGCAAATTAAATAGCTTGAAATTCATGAGATTTGAATATTTTCAAGAAGTTATTTGTGGAGTTGATTTAGGTGTAGTGAAAAGAATTGAAGGAACACATGATGGAAGCCACATATCACTGTGACATGATCATTTATTGTCAACATGAAAAAGTTTATAGACGTAATTATCTGCAAAACGAAAGAAAATAAAAATAACGATGAATGAACTGTAATAATAACAAAGAAATGAAGAATTAGTGTAAGTGAGCTTGCATACAATCAATAGCAGTATTAAGTAAATCCACAGAAGTAATAAACAAAAGTATGTAAACAATTTGAATGGAAGAGATCGTTGACATATATGAAATATTGCAGCATTCAAGAGAAACAACGAAAAGGAAAGAAGGAAAAATCATTCTGAAAACTTAACATTTGACCTATAACCTTCGAGATTATTCCCCACTCTCTACGTCTTCGAGCATTTTTGATCATGACAACGTCCTTAAAACTCATTGTGTTTCTTATTCTAATTTCTCGAAACTTTCCTTTCGAATTTCAAATACTTTCAAATTTTCATTTTCAAAGTATTTTTAACTTGCAGTCAATCGATGACATAATGATGCGGACAGGCACATTTAAAATGCTCGAACTGGACCAATTTAAGACTGAAAAAAAAACTTTAATCTATTTATCTGCCAAAAAACACATCCCTGTGGACCATTTAAAACAGAATTTTTTAAACTTTGTTATAACCATTTTATAAGTCATTACTACAATGTTTTCGTAATAATAAATTTATAAAAATCCGAACATTTCAGATTTTTTTTTTCATCCAGTATGCAAATCTTTTAAACAATAATCTCCACTGATTAGTAATTTTTTTAATTAAAACTTTATTTACATCAATAAATTGATATAAATAATCAAACTTAACTTAGTGATCACGGATATAATTGCTGATAGTTAAGATGACAGAAAGAGGAAAAGAGGAAAGGGGAACGAATAAGAGAAATGTACAGGTTAAAGTGACTTTGACACATTTACATGAGTAGATTTAATGATGATTAGGCTTATGGTAATAGGCAGTTTCGGTGAACAATTCATATTAATCAATAAATTAACGAATCATTTAACCATTAATCACTGAGCTATCAATTAAGCATGCAGTCATCAATCGTCCTATCAATCAATCAATCAATCAATCAAGAGTTAATTAATCAATCATAACAAAAATAAGTAACAGTAACACTTCTTGCACAGGCAGCCAGAGCATATCCCATATTCATAAGTACGAAGGGAACAATAATGCTACCAGTTACTAGTCCTAATAAGTAACAATAATTATAGCAGTAATTTGATAATAATAAAAAGTAAATAATTCTTATAATAAACAATAACAATATAAATAATAATAGTAGTAATAATGGCATTTAAAGTTAGCATTAGTGGTGGTAGTAGTAGTAGTAGTAATAGTACTACTGTAGCAGCAAATGTAATTATCGTAGTAAGTTATAACGTAGTATTACTGTAGCAGTGGTAATAGAAGTGGTGCAGTAGCGATTACATAAAAATTGTAGCAGGTGCTACCGAGTGATAATATCATTCCGCTCAATCAACACTGAGATTCTGATACCGGATTTATGGTGTTTGTCACATCCGTACTATTGCTGGCAGAACCGGAACTGCTACTGTCGCTGCCATCTGTAAATTTTAGGAGAAAAAAGGACAGCATTAATGATAATCATAAACATAAATAAGAAGAAACATACAAAACGGTATCAAACAAACAAGTACTGCAGTAAATAATAATGATATTAAAAACATACTTTCATTTCTTCAAAGAATTACAATCTTTATTTCCAGAAACAAATAAAAAATTTTATACTTTTAATTCAAAAGTTAAAGTTTAATTTAAAAGAAATCGAACAAACTAATGAAACCATGAATAAATACATGAACTGAATAATTAAATTTACAACAAATACTGAAAAAATGATAGCATAAAGGAGAGAAGAAATGATTAGTCAGACTTACTAATTCGGCTTGGCCATATGTCGACCAGCAAGCGAAGTGTTCGAGCTGCCTGATCCGTGTCCAACGGATTGACGACCATCTTTGGTGGATAAATACTGCTGCCACCCTGAGTACTACCACTCTCCGTTGGTGCATTACAGGAACAAAAAAGCAAACAACCGAATATACCCGTCAAACGTGCGGCGGTAATACCGTTGTGTTGCTCCGAACTCATCACTAATTTTAGATGATCCATTATTTGTATCAGTGTATTCTGTGAAAAAAATAATGATAAGAATAATTGCTACTTTTAGAATTAGCACTAATTAACCGATTGACAAGTGCACAACTGCATATTCAAGGTTAATAAAAGACAAATTCGAAATATTACCTTATTTGGTACAGGTAAGCAGTCGATAACTCTAAGCAGCAAACGGCGATTTCCCCGTGGATCGTTGGGCAGTGCAACGGAGAATGCTTCTACAATCATGTTGTAAATTGAAGTGGATATCAGGGGTTCTGGTAATTCACGCAAAAAATCCTTTACCAAACATGCCAATACATTAGTATCTGGAACTGCTTCCACATTCAATCGTGCTCGTTCCACGTTTAATTCCAACTCTTCACGTAACATACGCTTCTTCTCCAATGAGCCACATACTGTAACATCTTAACTACAAATAAATATAAGTAGCGAATTTCAGTTTTGAAAAACTTTGACATTATGCAGCGACCTATATTATATATTCTTCGTGAATTTCTGGACTTTGAAATTTAGGATTATTTGTTAGAGAAATCCAAACATACGTATATAAAGACCGGAGTAATCGATACCACGATGTTCAATTTCCTGCAGAAGGCGGGAAAGTATCAGGGGTGTCTCTCGTCCTTCCCTTGCAACCAGTCGTTGCAAGGGTATTCCAAATAATCCATCATACCTGCAGGAATATTTTCAGCACATAAAAAAAGTGTGCCGAACAAGTATTTTTAATATACAAAGAGGTCATTGCCATAAGTTTTTAATTTTTTTTATTAATTTCAATTGAAATAGTCATAAGCTAATAAGTAAGAAAAGAACATAAACCTGCAATTAACGATCCTTCGGAATGCTGCAGCAACACTATGAAACGCAATTTTGACAATTAGCTGACCTTTAGGCTCCAAATTCAGTGCAAACATCCTATTTCCATTCAAACGATCCACTACAAATGCTTCCAGTAGCTTCAGCGACCCCTTATGGCACAATTTATGCCTGAATGTCTAAGTAATTAACTTATCTAAGTCATTAACTTAGGTATCTTTCAAGAGTACTAACACTCTTTTTCTTTTTGTCTTTATCCTGAATCAGACTTTTTTAGACTAAATTTGACAAAACATACCTATATTGCGGATGCCAAGAGTATACGAAGAAATTAGTATGAGTAGCGTGTTGCACATCAATTTCAAACGTTTCACGCCATCGAAACTTCTGCTCAGCTGTGGAAACACCTGTTCTTGCACGGTGTGTTTCGTTTACCTCCAACACACAGTACATCTCTTCAGTGAATGCTTTTTGCTTTTCTGGCATTCTTAATCCTCGTCCTTCGATAATCTAAATGAAATGAAATGAAATATTTAGAAATGGGAAACGATATTAATTACATGTTATGAAATAGACAAGCAAAGATAAATAAATGATGGGTAAATAGTGGTAAAAGAAGCAAAGATTGCTTGAAATCGGCTGCTGAAAGTAATAAATAACAGAAAGACAATTAAACAATGATCAGTGGATGCTAATTAATAAGTAAATGATAAGATCAAAAAGTGATAATTAATAATGGAATGATATAATTATTTCAGTAATAATATGATTTGAAATAAATACCTGTACAACAAGAATTCCAGTAAGTGAAGTAACGTCTAACGGAGTGTCAACATCGAAACCTGGTCCAGCTACTCTTAGTGGTACTCTTCTATTCATCAGTGGTGACACATGCAACCTATCTAGCAAGTCACCTCGTTCATGACCAAGCGAGAATCTATTTGCCTGAAAAGGTGAAAATCTCATCAACAAATAATCAAATACCACTGATGTCAAAAGCTTACTTTTTTCCTTCTTTTTAAATACTAAACTTATACTTTATGGTAATGCCTACTTTACATTAGAACTTCAATGAGACAATATTTTAGAAATTGAATTTCCTGAATTGAAATGGGAAGCTAATTTAGTACAACTAACAGCAGTTAACATGGCCCTGGAAGGAAGAGAAGAGCTCCGAATTGAAGCACCAGGTTTTTCACCATAGGTATGTGACCACCTTGATTGTCTCTCCTGCGGTCTAATCCCCGTATCGATAGATGCCCAATTGCGGTATTCTTGCGCCGAAAATATATCATCAATAGTTCGACCATATTGTCCACTAACATTGCTACTACCAAGTCGCACTCGAGCATCTGAATTAGACAGGAAAATGAAATGACATGAGATCAGTGAAGATGG